TAAATGGGGAAAAATCCACTAAAATCAGAGATAAGACGAGGTTGTTCTCTTTCTCCACTCTTATTTAATACAGTGCTTAAAGTCCCAGAGGGACACAAATAGAAAGAAGTGAAAGTATTCTTACCTTCAAATGATATGATTCTATGCATACGACTTTAAAGACTCCACCAGAAAACTCTTAGAACTGATAAACACTTTCATCAAGGTGGCACAATTTCAAAATTAACATGCAAGCAGAGTGGTGACATATGCCTCTAATCCCATTTCTTGGAAGGCAGAGGCAAGAGGAATATGTGTGAGGTGGAGGCCAGCCTGGTCCACATAGTAACTTCTAGCTTAATCAGAACTACACAGTGAAACTTTGTCTCAAAACACAAAACAAAGAAAATGAAAAATTAGCATAGAAAATCAGTATCTTTCCAATAACAAATGTTATAGAATATTATTTTAAGATGTGTTACATTTGTTTATGCTATGAAATATTTGTTTAATGATGTGTTGCATTGTTTTAGTTTGCATTCGTTTAACTCTGTAAGGCTGTGCTACTTTGCCTGCATAAGACACCTGATTATTCTAATAAAGAGCTGAATGGCCAATAGCTAGGCAAGAGAAAGGATAGGTGGTGCTGGAGGCAGAGAGAATAAATAGAAGAAATCTAGGGAAGAGCTAGGAGTGAGAAAAGGAGGAGAGAGAATGCTAGGGTCCAGCCACCCAGTCACGCAACCAGCCACAGAGGAAGGAAAGAAAGATATGTAGAATTAAGAAAGATAAATCACTAAGAGGCAAAGCATAGGAAAAGACACATGGTATAATTTAAGTTAGAAAAGTTGGCGAGAAACAAGGCAAGCTAAGGTCAGGCATTCATCAAGTAAGAATAAGTCTCTCTCTTATTCTGTTAGTGGTGGACAGACAAAAGCAATATATATTATGTAAATGCATGAAACTTTCAAAGAATAAAAAATACTATCAACAAGTGATGAAAAGATGTAAGCCAGTCTGTGGTGGCACACGCCTTTGATCCCAGTACTCAGGAGGCAGAGGCAGGTGGATCTCTGTGAGTTCGAGACCAGCCTGGTCTACAAGAGCTAGTTCCAGGACAGCCTCCAAAGTTACAGAGAAACCGTGTTTCGAAAGTCCCCCCCCAAAAAAGACTTAAATTTTTGAAAAATGGAGCAAAAGATAAAATTGAAAAGAATTTCAAATTCCATCTAAACATTCCTTTTTGTCATTTTGAGTATTTCTGAAAGTTTTCTTTTTAGAGATTATTGAAGACCTTTACTCTTTGCCTTTCTTGTTTTATATATATTTTCAGTCACTTGGGAGGAAATGTATGTTTACCATAAACCTATAAATAGGACTATTTAAAGTGTAAATCTAGTTGGCCTTACTAATAAAATCCTGGAGTCATATTTTGGGGTAAATGCTGAGAAGTAAAGGAGTCAGTCACTAGAGAGACTTCTTACCTCTACAGAATCCTCAGACCCAAGGGTCATGCTCCTGTCTCCTCCCGCCTTATATTCCTCTCTCCACCCAGCATATTACTTCCTGTTTCCACCTCATTAGTGCTGGGACTAAAGGCCAGTGACTTCCAAGTACTGGGATCAAAGGCATGAGATCCCAAGGGCTGGGATCAAAGGTGTGAGTCACCACTACCTGGCCTCTATGGCTAACTAGTGGCCTGCTCCACCCTCTGATCTTCAGGCAAGCTGTATTTGTTAGAGCACAAACACAATATCACCACAACTATTATTTTCAGAACATAAAATATGATAATTTAACCTACCAGTGGTCCTGCCTCTCCTAAATAGCTTCAGTCTTCAAAGTCCAATGGATTTTTTCAAAGAAAATTTTCACTCAGTTTTTACATGGATAATAATTAAACTTTATGGTAAAAAAATTTAGTACCTTGGAATAAACCTAGTCAATCAAATGAAAGTTGTCTACAATTAATATTTTTAAACACTGAAGAAGCTTAAAGTGACACTAGATGGAGACTCCCTAGTCTCATAGATCAGCAAAGTTAACTGTAATAATGGCCATACTGCCAAAAGCAGTCTGCAGACTCAATTCAATCCTGATCAAAATTCCAACATCAGGGGCTGGAAAGACGGTTCAGAAGTTAAGAGCATTTGTTGCACTTGCAGAGGAGGACCCTGGATCAGTTCCCAGCACTCGCATGGTGGCTCACAATGGTCCATAACTCCAGTTCCAGGAGCTCTGCTTCCCTTTTCTGATATTACGTGAGCATCGGGAACACATGCAGAGTACATACATACAGGGAAAACACTCATACACATTAAATAAAATAAAGCTAAAAAACACTTAAGCACCTCCCTCTTCCAACAATAATAGGATAGGGCGTCTCAAAGGGCCAATAAAATCCAGCCATTAGCCCTCCGAGATGAAATGGCAGTCAGTGCTTACATCCAATCCCTAGCAAAGAATTCTCAATCTAAGGAATTTAAGGTTAGGTTTAGCCGCCTCTGCTTTAAAAAATGAGGGGAAAAAATGAGAACACAAAACACTGCATGATCTGTACCAACAGAGCAACCTTGTCCATACAGGACGTAATGGAAATTTCAAGTGTTCAAGGTCTTCATCAGTCAATCAGTTAAAAGTGAGGGTGAGTGGGAGGAAGGTAAAAAATTCATTTACTTTTAGTGATACCTTTGCTGCAAATAGGCCCTTAGCATCAGGGTATGTTCTTAGAGCCTGTCCCTTCTTGGATGATCCCACTGACATCTCATAAGGACGTCACCGATACATGGTTAACTCAGCCACAGGCCACCATGACATCTCATAAGGACGTCACTGATACAGAGTTAACCTAGCCATAGGCCACCATGGCTCTCCCATACCCTCTGTGTTCTGACATCATCAATATGCCACCAGACACTGTGGATTCCATCCTTACTGCACTTTGAAGGGGCTGGCCCTGTAGGACCAGATACTGGAAGAGTGTTTCTATTTTCATATGTGATGGGAAAGGCATCAAGAGGAGGATGGTATTGAAGGTCTGGTTAAGGCACAATCTGATACAGATTTGCCCATACCTCAGGCCTCCCAATCACCCTGATACCTGTATGACAATTTCCTTTGATATAAAACCTCCAACTTGGAGAGAAGCTTGTTAAGACAATGGCTGTTAAAAGAGAGGTGAAAAATTCCATCCTTCAAGGAAGCTTCTTAAACTTGGGAAGAAAATAACTCCAAAAAAACTTCAGGAAGTCTCTGAAATTGACTAGTCCCTCTCCTTCCCCAAGCATACATCAGCTGTAAAGACATCTCAGAGTGTATCTCAAACAAGCTGAGCCACAAAGACGAGGCTCAGGCCAGTTGAGCCACATAAATGAAGCAGAATTCAGCCAAGCTCCTTGGAAGAAACTCAGACCACCTGAGCAACCTGAAAGAGACACTTCCTTTCTGATTAAACTGACTGTACGTTCTGCAGTGCACTTCAGGTTTCTAGAGCTGCCAGCAATGATGGGGTGGGTTTTGGTGTCACAACTTTATCTTTGAGTCATTTCTTCTTCTATAACTAACAACAATAAAATAATTTGTTGGTTCACCAACTTGGATTTTTGTGGTATCCTTACTTTGGGGTGTGCCCATTCCCTATATGGTAGAAGACATTTATTCACATGTCCCCAGAAACATTCTCACACAACACCTGGATACTCCAGAGCTGCACTCAGGTTTCTGGCCTAAATTTGGGACTGCCAAAGTCTGACTTCTCAACCCCACTGCACCAACCCTTAGTTGGCTGCTTTCCCATTGCTCCCCAAGATGTGTTCCTCAAGGACTGCCTGTGTAGTTGATAAAGCTGTACACACCACCAGACATTTCCCCATTCACATGACTATACTGAATAGGATACACAATAAAAAATCTTGATCCTAGCCCTCTGCCTGAGGCATCTATCCTGCTCTAAACTTGGTCAGTGGAACAGACCATCATCAAGAATATCCACATAGGCCTGGCAAAGGAAGTCTTCTGGGTACTGTTCCACCATGCCCTCTGGACCCTGAGAGGATATCTCCACTCATGGCAGGAATATGAAGTACCTCTGAGTATGATTGGGGACCATAGATTGAGGCTCCTCCCTCTTAGAAGTCAATAAGGCAATGGATCACTCTGTGGCTGCAGGACCTAGCCCGAATATCCTCGTACTTCATGGCCATCTGCAGCAGCAGCAGCAGCAGCCTGGTGTTCGCCCTTCACGTTTGCCTGCTCGCCCTTCTTCCACACCTAAGTCCCTCATAACCTGAATGCCCCCAAGCAGGAAACACAATTGGGCAGACAATCCCCACCAGGTGGGAAACACGGGAGAAGCTCTACCCCTGAAAGCACTCATAGCTTCACTGAGAGTGTAAATACGTCTCTTCCACATGAAAAATGGTGAGCTTGTGTGCTGGGCTCCAAACAGAGGCTGCTGCTGTGACAGATGGTTTCTATAAGCTCACCCTGCTTGTGGAGCACAGTAATCGAGGGCTGGGATGATCTTACACTTTCAATCACACTAATCAGTATCACTAAGCCATGCCCAGCTGAAGAGCACTGAATTGTGTATGATGATGTTGTGGGTACAGGAGGAACCATTTGGGCGGGGCAGTTGGGCGGAACCATCATAGCAGGGTCCTAACAAGTCAGGGTGTTCGGGACACTGATCAGTCAGCTTGCACAGGATCTCTGAATACCCAGGTAGCACCACCCATCCACTCGTGCTGCTGGGCTGAGCTTCCCGAAGCCTCAGGCTTGTTGGGTCAGTGCCACTCATGGGCAGGGCAGCTTGGAGGAAATCTATATTGGAGGGCCCCATTAGTACAAGTTCCCTGGGAATGAACTGTTGAGAGAGCTGTAGGTTTTGGGTTCTCAGAGACATCCTCCTCCCCACCCCACGCCCCTCCGCGAGTCTGCACAGACAGCTAATTTACTGGAAACCAATCCTCGCGAGATCTTGTTTGCACATGCGCAGTGGTCCTCACGTGCTATTCCCTGTATAAACCCCCGCTGCACTTGGCACAAGGACTTCCTTTTGTTCTCCGAGTGTGAGCAGTAAGGTTGTGTTAGTGGCGGGGGGAGGGGGGTTGGGTTGCTGAGAGGAAAGTCAGAGTAGTCATGCAGGACCCTGATGAGGGCCTAGATGGGAGAGCAGTGACTGAAGGAGGTGACAAGAATGGGCAGCAGAGTCCTCAAGCTCCCGAAACCCAGGCTAGCTCTCCAAGTTCGGCAACCGAAGGTGACCGTGGCAACTTCCCTCAGAGTGGCCCACAAGATTCCAGTAGCCCGGCTGCCCCTGGTAGCCCGGCTGCCCCTGGTAGCCCGGCTGCCCCTGGTAGCCCGGCTGCCCCTGGTAGCCCGGCTGCCCCTGGTAGCCCGGCTGCCCCTGGTAGCCCGGCTGCCCCTGGTAGCCCGGCTGCCCCTGGTAGCCCGGCTGCCCCTGGTAGCCCGGCTGCCCCTGGTAGCCCGGCTGCCCCTGGTAGCCCGGCTGCCCCTGGTAGCCCGGCTGCCCCTGGTAGCCCGGCTGCCCCTGGTAGCCCGGCTGCCCCTGGTAGCCCGGCTGCTCCAGGCAGTCCTGTAGGGTCCGGTGCAGCCGCTGAAGAGGCAGCTGTGGTTCCCCACAGCGAGCAGCCACCACTTGTCCCTGGACCCAGCGGAGATACGGCATCAACAACTGGAAATCGACTCCTGGAGTTGTATCCTTTTCTAAGAGACAGACCCTTGGCAGGGGCTACTGGAACATAGGGAGGCTAAAACTTCCATGGAAGGCTTTGGGGGCACGGTGCACAGCTAATTAGGAAATGGCCAGATGGCTGTAGTGTGGCCAGTCCAGTGCAGCGGTTGGCATCCTGGCAGGACAAGGAGACTCCTTGCCTTAGAGGGTTGAAGGGTATACAAGAAGACCTGAATCTCTGGAGAGGTGGGAGGTGACTAGGTTCGGGTGGCAGGAGGGCTCATTGCCAGACAGGCCTAGGAAATGTATCCAGGTAAAGGGAAACTAAGTAGTGGATGGTGCCTTAACCTTATCTCCCCACAGCTCTGTAACAGTGCCTTTCAGGTCTGCAGTGGAGGCAGACATGGCCCGCAGGTCCCTGGTCTCCAATGCCCGTCGCCAGCAAGTGATGGTTCAGCAGGAGTTCACTGTGAATGACAGTATCCTGTCTGTGTCAGTATCCCAAAAGTCTGGAGTAGGGGTGGACTCAGGATTGGGAGGCAGAGTGCACTCTAGAGCTCCCTAATATAGACACGGGTGGATTTAATGTAAGCAGGACCTGAACAGATCCCTCGTCATTTCCCTGACGGTGTCTCTCCTTCTCTCAATTTTAGTAGGTGGACTACTGAAGACCCTGTGCTCTTCCGCATTTCCATCAACACTTTTCTTGACCAGCTGTCCCTGGTGATGAGAAACATCCAGCGCCTGGAGTTTGTGGCTGTTGTCAAACGAGGCCGAGGAAGAAGTCGTGAATCCTAACATGTTACTGGATACAAGAAAAGTCAGAGGCGTTTTCATGTTTTGAACAATTGCTATTTTGCCCTTAAAATTTCAGTGTTTCAATACTCTGTGTCATGTATTAGTCTCATGGTTGGATTGTTTCCCAGTGGCTGAAGGAATGAGCGTTTACATGTTACAGACAAAATAAAAATTAGCAAATATTTTTTCATCTGACTTTACTTTTGACTATGGCAAAAACTGCCAGGTTTTCTCATCTGTGTGCTTCTGTGGAGAAGTTCTGTAATTTAAATGTCTGAGTAGTCCAAAGTAATTTAAGACAATTTAGGAAATGGAAGGAAAATGAAATTACTTGCGTATAGTCGTACAACAAAAATTATTGACAATGTTTTTGAAGTGCAGGTGTTTGTATATGTACATGTTGATATTGTGAGGGTCACCTGTGTGCACATGCATGTGTCTGTGTATGTACACATATGAATGTTCTGTATATGGAGCCCGGGTGCCGACCAGGGATGCCTATTCTTGGGGGCCTGGATACCTTGTGGTTTTCTTTTCTTTTCTTTCTTTCAATATGGCCTCACAGTGATTAAGAAATTCCAATTTGGCTAGACCGACTGGGCAGTAGGCTATGGGGATCTGCCTGTCTTCATATGCCTAGAACTGGCATGACAATGTATTGCCTCCCCCTCCAGATTTTATGTCAGTACTTGAACTGAATACACATCTTCATACTTAAGCAGCAAGAACTTGACCAAACTTAATCATCTCCCTAGATCCAGCACATTTTTGAAGTAAGAAAATTTGGAACTCCTGTTGTAGCTCAATCCTTGGGTGCTTGCATAGCATGCTAGAAGTCCTGGGTCACAAGTAATATGAAAAATAAGAGTATATTTTAGCAATATACTTTTCTTTATATATTATATGCATGAATGCAGCTATAATATACTATATCTTTTACAAGGTATATTTCTTTTAAATACCATCTTTTCCATTTTCTAAAACTGCATTTAAATAACACGTAGTACTTTAGTGCTTTCCAAGGTAATTTCCCCATAATAACGAAATCTATGCATGAATACTTCTTTTCCTGTACTACATTTTAAGAGGGACACTTATTAAGTTAATTATCCATTTATTTTTTAAACTCCTGTATCTGTAGTATACAGATGTTCTCCTAAATGTACCTTCCCACAAAATAATAGTTGCATATGCTCATCACCGCTAGAGTGTCCACCTGCCAAAATTTACAATGGGCATCACGTGAGATCCTAAGAACATAGAAACAGCAGAGTGGGATATGTGTGGCTCCTGGACTTCCTTTCCGATTAGTGTAGAGCGGCACTGAGGTAATTGATTGTGCTTGTGAAGTAGTGCCTAGCTGTGTACAAACAGCTTGCATGCAAGAATCTTGCTAAACTCACTCATTAATTCTTGTGACTGTTTTGTAGGCCCCATCAGATATGTATGTGGGAATGTCAATAAAGACAGTTTCATTCCGTCCTAATCTGATACTGTTCCCTGATTGTTTTCTTTCTTCACTCTGTCTTGGATGCTCCTGGTCCTCCTCTCTGTCCTTGGTATGTTGCGGGGTGGGGGGGTGGGGGCGTCAGGCCCCTCCCAGAGCCCAGGCTACTACCTCCCGAGAGATGAGGTTTCATATGCAGGTGAACGGGCACAGACGCAGGCACCTGGCTCGGTTGGATTGGGCAGTTACCTATGGAGTGGTTCCATTTGTACAAGTTCCCAGGGCAAGGGCTGTGTGAGGGGGAAGTGGCCTATTGGCCTTCAGAGAGGTGCCTTGCTCCCCAAGGCCTAGGGGAGTGAAGGCTCAGCTGGAACCAACCTTTGCAAGATCCTGCCTGCACAAGCACAGTGGGATTCACATAAGCACAGTATATAAAGGTGTGGAGCTGGGTCTGTTCACCTCAGTCATTCAAGAGAGGGTGAGTGGTGTGGTCCTGTTGGAGGTGGATGCTGAGTGGAAAACCAGAGTCTTTGTGAAGGACCCCTGTATGAACACAGATGGGAGACGAGACGGCAGAAGAAGGTGAGCATAGATGTAGGTGGGCATCAAGCTCCTGATGTCCCGGCTAGCTCACAGAGTACTGCATCTGAGGGTGGCCGTGGAAGTTCACTCATGTGAGTGGCCCAGAAAATGCTGGTATCCAGGGTTCTCTAGGTAGGCTCAGCATAGGGAGCACTGTAGGGTCAGGAGTGGCAGCTGCCAATCTCCAGATACCAAATGTTCCTGGCCCCAGTGGAGATGCTCCAACAATAACTGTTAGTCGACTCCTGGGGTTGTACCCTTCCATAGGAGACCCTTTTCAAGGGCTACAGGAGCATAGGAAGGCTAAACCAGACATTTGCGACAGTGCCTGTCAGAGAGTCGTGTGAGAGTATAATAAACCTCAACATTTGGTCTTCCGGGGGAGGGGTGGTGGTGGTGGTGACACTTTTAATGCAGTGGAGGAAATATGCTCTATGCAGAAAATGATGCTGGGACACTTGTATAAACTTCAGTGCTTACCCAATCCCATTTCTCAAACCAATACAAGTGGGACTCCTCAATATGGATTTCCCCTAAGTTGCCCCACCCACACGTGTTAATGATTCTGAGGACCACAGAAAGCCTTCGCATTGCATTATTCATGGGTGGTATAACCCAAGTGTTCAGAGCACCTGTGCAAGCAGTGCTTGTCTGTCTTGGACACTCTAAGACGTTAAGAATCTTACAGATGGTTCCTCTCAGCTTCTCCACCTAAACTGTCCCTTTGGACTGAGATCACCCTCTGAGACAAGGAAGCCCCACATTCTTCACCAGGCAGGCATCACCTAATGGCATTAGTCAATGTGGCTTAATGAGAAGGCCCACTGAAGTCCTGGATTACTAACTGCGTGTTCCACAGTCCTTCTGGGCTTATAGGAACCATCTGTCTCGGCAATGGCTTCTACTTAGGAGTCCAGCAGAGGGGCCTGCCGTTTTGCAGGAAATATATTGAAGAGGTGTATTTTCACACATGCCCAGAGAAGTCCCATATGCTTTGAAAGTCAGAGCTTTGTGTTAGCTCAGTCACTGAGTAGCCGCTGCCACAGAGGACTCAGCTCCCTTCCCCAGAAACCCCTGGCTTCCCTGTGCTCCTTCCCCTGCCCTGCCTCCCCTCTCCTCCTCTCCCCTGCCCACCTTCTGGCCTTCTGCCATCCATAGGACATTTCCAGAAAGGAAAAGGAATCCTACTGTATGCCTGATACCTAGAATCCCCCTTTCCACTCCCTTTGCTGATCCAAGAAAGGGTCATGATCTGCTTCCTGCTGACACTGAGGATTCTACCCATATAAGAATTTAACAGAGAAATGGCAGGAAGGCTGTTACTACTGCTACTGTCTGAGGAATCGCTGATGATTTCTGTGAAAAGAACCCAGTGAAGGTGTTTAGGAAGAAATTTTCCTGCAACAGTAGTACCATTCAGCATCCAGAATATGGGACACAACTCAGCTACAAGGTGATGATTACAAAAGCGCATGCCAGTTCTGATAGAGGTTGGACAGGCTAAGGACGATCAGCTGAAAATTCAGTGGTTCCCCGAAGCTTAAGTGAGGATTTCCTTACAATGAGTAGAATTTCCATCTTATCCCTTGTCACCATTCTCAAAACCTCACAGCTTGTGTGATACAACCATTTGGGGGTACCTTTTAACATAATTTTTATTGATCCTTTGTGAATTTCACATCATGCACCCCAATCCTGCTAACCTCCCAGTCCCTCCATATCGGCCCCTCACCCCTGCAGCATGCCCCCTCAAAAAAAAAGAACGCCCAAAATTAATGAAAAAATAAAACAAACAAACAAAACGTCACTCCTCCTCCATCTTTCCAACACTTCTTCATTCGTCCTGGTGGCATCGGGAGCTGCAGTGTGTCATGCAGTATACCCTTTTGTCCAATCAGCCCCACCCGTAAGATGTTCATTGCAACGAGTCATTGGTTTGGTTTAAGGCCTCTGGTACCACCAGCATCGCTGGACCCTCACCGAAACTCCTCTTGGATATCCTGCTGTTGTCTGAGTGATGGAGATCCTGTGGTTATCGTTCCGCAGGACCAGTCCCTTCACTCACTCCAGCAGGTCACAGATGGGGTAGATGTTAGGGTGAGCCAACCCAAGGCCCAAGATGAGGGTCTGGGTGGTAGCTGAGCTGGTCGTCTCTGTCCCTGGGACCGCTCCCCCCGCCCCGCTCAGGCGAGGGTCAGGGGCAGAAACAGCAATCCTGGCCAGCTCTCCCAAGCCTGTGATGAGGGGTGGGGCCTTCTCTCCCGAGGGCGGGGGCGGGGGGTGGGGTGGGGAGGCTCTCCCATGGTGGGTGGGGCCAATTCTCCAGCTGCAGAGTCCAGTGAGGGGCAGGGCCAGTTATCCCAGGGCCAGTGAGGGGCGGGGCTGGCTCAGTACAGCTCTTGGGTTTCTTTTTTTTAAACATATTTTTATTTTTAAATTTACATTTAAATTATCATAAAGGGCTTTAAGAGCCCCTGTTTTAATAGAAAGAGAAGGGCGAAACCATTGCACCTCTCCCAAAAATATCTGCCAATCATGAAGCGTTTTTAAATTTGAACAATCGATCTGGAATCTTTGTGGCCGGAGGCCAGTTTGTTGAATTTGATGACCCAAATAAGTATAAAGGGGTCTCTTTTGGATCTTTTCAGGAGCCAAAATAAATCCGCGGGCCTCCAGAAGCTCCTGTAGCTCTGCAAAGGCTATGTAACATTGTCTTTCTTCGGCCACGGCCAAAAGAATATCATCCATGTAGTGGATAATGTAAAGATCAGGAAACTTACGTCTGAGGGGATCTAAACAGGCAGCTACATAAATCTGGCATATAGTTGGACTATTAGCCATCCCTTGGGGGAGCACCACCCATTGGAAGCGAAGGGCAGGCTCCCTAAAGTTAATCGCAGGAAGGCTAAATGCAAACCGAGGACTATCTTGAGAATGCAAGGGAATAGAAAAGAAGCAATCCTTCAAATCAATGACAATCAAATGCCAGTCTTTAGGAATGGCCACAGGCACGGGCAAGCCAGGCTGCAGAGCCCCCATAGGCTGCATGGTCGCATTCACGGCCCTCAAGTCTTGTAGTAACCTCCATTTCCCTGAAGAATTTTTTATTACAAATATAGGGGTATTCCAAGGGGACGTGGAAGGAACCAAATGACCTGCCTCCAATTGTTCTTGAACTAGCTGGTGAGCCGCCCTTAGTTTCTCTGCTGGTAAGGGCCACTGTTCCACCCATACCGGATCATCTGATAGCCATGTGATGGGTATGGGGGCTGGCGGCGCAACAGTGACCCTCATCAAAAATGGCCAAAACCCTTCCTATCCCCCGGAGCCCTGGTCTCCAAAGGGAGGGATGCCACTGGGCAAACCTCTCCCTGTTCTAGTTTACCTAGTTCCCTCCCCGGGCTCCAGCCCTTCCCTTGCGTCATCTGGGGGCCCCTGCTTTTGGACTTGGGTGCCTGGATGGTGAGGACCACTCCCATTTCTTGCATGAGGTCCCGTCCCCAGAGGTTAATAGGGAGGCCAGGCAAAACATATGGCTGGAAAAGCCCTGTGTGGCCCTCAGAGTCTTGCCACTTTAGGATTCTGAGGCTTTTTTGGGGCACAGCCTGTCCTATTCCCTGGAGGGTCACTGTCCCTTCCTCTTTCGGCCAGGCAGGGGGCCAGAATTTATCTGACAGGACAGAAAAATCTTCCCCAGAATCTAAGACACCCCTAAAGGACTTGCCTTCTATCTTTAATGTAAGCTGGGGGCAGTTCTCCATAGTGGCTACCCAAAATGCTGCTGGGCCGGTACTTCCAAAACCTTGGTTGCCCCTTTTCTCTTTAATTTTTTGAGCCTCACAAGGAGCTGTAGGGAGGAGGAGTAACTGAGCAATCCATTCTCCTGATGGGATGGCAACAACCCCACTGCCCACTGATGTCATTATTTTAATCTCCCCCTCACTATCCTGGTCTATAACACTGGGGTGTACCTGGATGCCTCGAAGAATAGTACTGGACCGTCCCAAGAATAGTCCAACCATGCCTGGGGGCAATGGCCCATGCACCCCAGTAGGGAGGGCCTGGATCCCCATTTCTGGTGTTAGGATTGCCTGGGCAGAGGGACCGAGGTCCAATCCTGCACTCCCTGAGGTGGCTCTCAGGAGGTCTGAGATATGAAGGGGTTGCTCTGGGGGAGAAAATGAATCCTGCCACTGCCTGGAGCAGGGGTCATTGCCCCGTACACATTGGTTTTGGGGCCCTGGGGCGGGGCCCTCCTCCCGTTTCCCTGGTTATTATTAGCAGGATGGAAATTTCCCTCCCGGTCAGTTTTAGAGTAGCAGTCATTGGCCCAGTGATATCCCCTTCGGTAACGGGAGCATAAACCAGGTCTCTTGAGACCTGTAGTACTATTTTGAGGGCACTCTCTACGGAAGTGTCCCTCCCTACCGCAGCTGAAACATATTTT